GGTTTGGGTGTGGCGGCGCGGATGCCTCCGGAGTCGCTTGGTGTGACCCAAGAGGCCAAGTAGGTTGTGTTGTGTGTGGATCAACTCATGCCCTCATGCCCGTAACAGAAGTACCTATACAGAGGGATGGCCCTTGTGGCTCTAGAGATGCATATGTTATGAATACTAATTCAAAATAAATAATAAATAAGTTTCAAAAATTTGAATTTTTATTGTATATGTTGTTGTTAGCGTAACAATAATGCTTGGCAATTTTCATGCAAACGGGATAGCGGTGCTTCTTCGTTAATAAGTACAACATTTGGCATTCGATATTGTTTTTTACACAGGTCAAATGTTTTCTTTAACAATGAACAGATATGTTTTACTTCTTTCTTCATTTTTTTTTACATTGGTTTTCCGATACACATAGACCTGTACCCTCTAGATCGGTGCCTTTGAATCGAACAAGGATGGAAACGGGAACTTGTCCTCGATCTCTGGTCCAGCGTGCCGGTCAGCCTGAGCAAAAACTCCAAAATAACTGCAGTTGGCATGCCGCATCTCGTTTGTCCCGTTCCCCAGATTCTCACTCTCTCGTTCAAAACGAGCATCTGTCTTGGAATCCAACTTGTGCTTCTCCATCTCCTCCAACCCCATCGTAGCACGTACGATCGTCATATACGCACGCAGCACGCACCTCCCGCCCGCTCACTCACCGTGTGAAGTGCCAGTGCCGTGGAAGTGGAACCCGGGACGCCACGACACCCATCGACTCCACCATGGCGCCGGGAGAAGCAAACGCGGCCACCGCCGGCGGCCCGTCCCGCCGCCGCCGCCGCCGCGTGCTGCTCTTCCCGCTCCCGTACCAGGGCCACATCAACCCCATGTTCCAGCTCGCGGGCCTCCTCCACGCGCGCGGCTTCGCGGTCACCGTCTTCCACGCCCGCTTCAACGCGCCCGACCCGTCCCGCCACCCGGCCTACGACTTCGTCCCCGTCCCCGAGGGCCTGCCGGCGGCCGGCCCCGGCACGATCGTGGAGACCCTCGAGCACATCCTCGCCCTCAACGGCTCCCTCGAGGCGCCGTTCCGGGAGCGCCTGGCCGCGCTGCTGGAGTGCCCCGGCGCCCGGGACGAGGTCGCGTGCCTGGTCGCCGACGCGCACCTGCTGACCCTCGTGGACGTGGCGCGGCGGCTGGCCGTGCCGGCGCTGGTGCTGCGCACCGGCAGCGCTGCCTGCTTCCGCAACTTCGTGGCCAACCCCATGCTCTGCGACAGGGGCTACCTCCCGGTGAGCGGTGAGTCGGAGCTGGACGCGCCGGTGAGGGAGCTGCCGCCGTACCGCGTCCGGGACCTGATGGGCGCCGACAGCAGAAGTCGTCACGGGCACGATCTGATGTGCAAGCTGCTGTCCCGGGCGGTCGAGGCGGTGCGGGCCTCGGCGGGGTTCATCCTCAACACCTTCGACGCGCTGGAGGCCGCCGACCTGGCGGCGACCCGGCGAGACCTCGCCGGCGTGCCCGTGTTCGACGTCGGCCCGCTCCACAAGCTCTCCCCGGCGTCGTCCAGCAGCCTCCTGCAGCAGGACCGCTCCTGCCTCGACTGGCTGGACGCGCAGGCCCCGGCGTCCGTGCTCTACATCAGCTTCGGCAGCCTGGCGAGCATGAGCGGCGAGGACCTGGCCGAGGCGGCGTGGGGCGTGGCCGACAGCGGCCAGCCGTTCCTGTGGGCGCTCCGGCCGGGGCTCGCCCGCGGCGCCGCCCTGCCCGACGGGTTCGCCGCGGCGACCGGAGACCGTGGACTGGTGGTGGGCTGGGCGCCGCAGGAGGAGGTGCTGGCGCACCGCGCCGTGGGCGGGTTCTGGACGCACGGCGGGTGGAACTCGGCGCTGGAGGGCGCGTGCGGGGGCGTGCCGATGCTCTGCCGGCCCTGCTTCGGCGACCAGATGGGCAACGCGAGGCACGTGGAGCACGTGTGGCGCGCGGGCATCGCGCTGGACGGCGGCGGCGTGCTCGAGCGGGGCGCGGTGGAGGCGGCCGTCCGGCGGCTGATGCGGGGCGAGGAGGGGGAGGGGATGAGGGGGCGTGCCCGGGAGCTCCGGAGCAGGGCGGCCGCGGCCGTCGCCGATGGCGGGTCGTCCCGGCTCAGCGTCGACAAGCTGGTGAACCACATCCTGTCGCTGTGAAGTCCCGTGTCAGACCCCGTAGGTAGTAGTCCGTACTCTGTAGTCTGTTTCTGGGCCACGAGCCCACACGTGTTTTGTTTGTCCGGATCTGCTTCTATGTAGTCTAGAATAAGTTGTCAAAAACCATCGCAAATTGCCACCGACAATGCCAAAAACCATCGTCTTCATGAAAGTTCACGAAAAACACCGTTTTCTGGGATTTTTTTTTGCCAAAACCTGACCGGTGGGGCCGTTGTCAGTGCTGATGTGGCAGTTGACTGGAGACGGCCGCATCATGTTTGACGTGTTAAAACTGACGTGGCATTAGTCTGCTCCACGTGTCATATATAGTAAGCCTTGTCATTTTTTATTTAAAGCTACGAAACTACTGTAAAGACGATACTGCGTGCACGACAAGGAGACGACGGCCAAATCCAGCCGTCTGCTTCACTTTACTGTTGTGCATGGATGAGTTGATCTGCGTTGTCGTTCAGGAATCGTCCACACACCATTGTGTGTATAGCAGCGCTGTTAAAGCTAAGCCTTGTCTTGTTGGTCTCTCCCTGTTCCGCCATTCCTCCCCAGGCAGAGTGAATCCACCATAGCGCGGGAGACGCGTCATGCTTGTGCGCGCTTGACTGCACCCTGGGCCTGTGGCGAAGCTAGACAGAATATTCAGAGGGGCCAAACACAAAATTATGCATGTTTGGAGGGGCTAAAGGCTCTAATTTTTCTAATCTAAGCTGGCTCT